CCTGAGGAATTCACACTGTTGTGGCTGGCCGACTTTGGGATCTGGGGTTTCAGTCTGGGAAGATTCTTGCTAGAGGTTGTAGCTAATAAACATAACTGGACTGAATTTCCACTGTCTCTTGGAGTTCTTCCAAAGGGAAGATGTCAGGCCTAGCCCAAGGAACTCCAAGAGACAGTGGAAAGTCCTGAACTTAGAAGTGAGCCTGGATGGTTTTCTGGTTCCTTCTTTCCTCTAAATGTATCTTTAGCTGCTCTTGCCTTTTAGTGATCTGCTTGTTTTATTACCTCCACCTGAGAGTGAGCAGGAAGCCCCCTTCTCCCCTATCATCACAAGAAAGAATTCACAACAGTAAAGTAGCCCTACTCAGCTTATGTTCACATACTTGCTCTACTTGGACCAGGCTGAATGGACAGAGGTAGCAGCCTTGTGGCAACGCACATTTGATTACAGGTAGTCCTTGCTTACTGACTGCTCGTTCAATGACCGTTTGAAGTTATGATGGCACTGAAAAAGGAGATTTGCGACCAGTCCTCGAAGTTGCAGCCACCATAGCATCCCTGCAGTCACATGATCATGATTTGAGCACTTGGCAATTGGCACACTTTTACGATGGTGTCAGCATCCTGCGGTCACATGATCGCCATTTGTGATCTTCACAGCCAATTTCCGACAAGCAAAGTCAGTGGGGAAGCTGGCAGGAAGTCACAAGTCTCAGTCACGTGATGTCATGCTTAACAGCCACGAGTGATTTGCTTCACGGCCGCAGCCAGGTCTGATGTCTTAACTCAGGTGCAGTCATATGATATTTCACTTTACAACTGTGTCGCTTAGTGATGGAGTTGCCAGTCCCAGTTGCGGTTGGTAAGTGAGGACTACCTGTACTGAATGGTGCTCAAAAGTGGGTTGCAAATGAGGATGGGAGCCCATCTCACTGGAATGCAGTGGTGCTGATGACTTGCATCCCTTGCCAGAATAGGAATGAAGCCTTTACCATGGGGCCAGGACTTGGTGAGCACTGCTGTGTGGAAAGAGTTCCGGTTAAGCTAGTTCTGTGGTGAATTACATCCTGAATCAGGATGAAATGGAGGTTATTGTGAAGCTGTCATAATGGGAAGTTTAGGACTGGGAGCCCTGACTTCTCAAAGAGTGATTCTTCCTTTTGGCATTATCTAAAACAATATTTCTTAAAACTTGCTTCTTTCCTTCTCTAGTTTCTCAAAAGGAATCCCATTCAACGAATTGGGGGTGGGCCAGGTGATGCTGCAGATGTGCAGGTAAAGTGGATAGGGAGGGGGGCAAAGTTTCTTTTGATGCATTCAAGAATTTGGAATTCTGAGCAGCTTTCTTCCCTTTTGATAAGCAAGTTATTCTCTGTTAAGGCTGAAAGTGATATTGGAGAGGCTAGTGTGGGGAAGGGGCTATCCCCTCAGCAGGCTTTTCAAAAGAAGGCAGGGCATCAATGCCTTGCATCATTCTTTCTCTACCCAATAATGATTAAATATGCACAAATGCCTGCAACATGCTTAAAACAATGAAGGCTAAAGCTTCAGAAGCTGCAAACTGCTGGGGAGAGATGGAGAATTTTCTTAATATTACTTAAGTAGATTTTTAAATGTAGAAAAATCCATAATTTTATAGAAATTTGAGATTTGGAATATGAGGACGACGTGTTTGAGGACTCTTCACACATTTCGGATAGCATTAAACTCTTTATCTTCTCTTTTAGAAACACCCATTCTTCCGACATGTTAACTGGGATGACTTGTTGGCCAGAAGAGTGGACCCACCATTCCGGCCATCCCTGGTAAAGCCGCCCCCTCTCAGCCCTCGCTCTTCCTATCTCTGCATTTCCTCCACTTTTCAGTCTTGTCCTGACTGTAATAGGCCTTCTTAGTCCTCAGAATCTTGATCTTGATCTGTATCTTAGCTATTGGCAGGTTGTTAAGGAATGCTAAATTGGACATTTACTGGATTCACATATCACATAAAGGAGTTTTCTGGTTTGAATAAGTGTAACTGCCTGGTTCTCATACATTGCTAAGCCATAAAAGGGGGCATGTAATCCTTTTGTACGAGGAACTAATATTTTTTCACCTCTGGAGGGAGTTGGGAATTATGACAGTACTGCATGTGGTGAGGCCACAATTTTCATCCCTTTTCTACCATTCTCTTGGTGAAAATTGGGATTGCATTGCTGTATATTAGCAGTTTGTTGCCAGATTTCTGAAGTTTAGTCTTGGGATGGGGCAGTGACAAAGTTGCAGAAATGGCGTTGAGCGGCCACTGAATTTGAGTTGCTTCCCTCTAATAAACTGCAGTGACTGTATGCGTGTATTGTGCAGACCAAAAGCCAAACAAACCAGTAACTGCACAGTTCACATGCTCCCTTGACTATTTTCAAACCATAACACAGATTCTCATTCACTTTAAACTTGTTTAATTCTATGCCCACAGTGTTAATTTATCTGTCTACCTTTGATAATTCCAACTGTATGATATATAATCTTAATTATTAAACAATATGACTCTTTTACATCATGTGCTAACAATGCATACTTCTCCACAAAGTTTCTGGCAAAAGAACTCCCTTTGTTTGTGTAGATAGTTGCTAACATGGACTAGAATTCCCAGTTTACCCATAACCAAAGGGCTAAAAGATAGTAGGACATCTTTTTCCATCCACAGCAATCAGAAGATGATGTCAGCCAGTTTGACACCCGCTTCACTCGCCAGACACCTGTGGATAGTCCTGATGACGGCTCCCTCAGCGAGAGTGCCAATCAGGCCTTTCTGGTAAGGGATATCCGGCTGGAGCTATAGTGAGAAGGAAGGGGTGGTAGCAAAATCGTTTTCAGACTCCTACTGTGAAGCAGTGGGGAGAGCCTTCTTCACCCTAGGGGCTCCATTCCCAATGACTAACCTTTGGGGGACCGCATGCCAGCCATGGATAAGACCAGTGCAAAAATTCAGTGGTGACTCCAACTTTTTGAAAAAAGTCTTGCATTGCAACTACTTGCTGCTTGGGGGAAATCTTTCTTAAGACCACAGCTGGTGGGAGAATTAACGCTCCTTAATCACCCTTGCCAACTGCAATCTCAAAGATGATCCTCTCCTCTGCAGCAAACAGGTAGGTAAAAAAAAAAAAGCATTTTAAAGCATAAGTTCCATGCAAAGGTTGCTGAAATGAAGGGAACCTAGGCTGAATCCAACAGGTGGTTCTAACTTTTGATGGAGAAATTAGATGGGGAACTTAGGGCCTTCCACAGGTTGTTGAACTACAACCCTCAGCAACTGTTATTGGCTCCATTAGCAGGGGTTGCTGAGAACTGTTGTCCACAACATGATGAAGGCCGCAAATTCCCCATTATTGATGGAAAGAATGCAGAGCATAATTGAACCCAGATCCTGAAATGAAGTTGTGGCCAGGATCACAGCAGCACTGACCAAGTGTTCCTCCCATAGGGATTTACCTACGTGGCTCCATCTGTTTTGGAGAGTATCAAGGAAGGCTTTTCCTTCCAACCCAAGTTGCGATCTCCAAGGCGTCTCAACAGCAGCCCCCGCACACCTGTCAGGTAAATCTGGAGACAGAAAGTTGGGAGGGAGCCTAGATCTTTGGGGCATGTTCCTCCTGGGACTGGTTGCAGGAAGGATGCGGTTCCTGCTGAGTCCTTGCTTCCCCAAAGTAATGCTGCCTCCAAGGGTATTGTTTGCTCTTCTGTCCAAATTCTAGAGGCACAAGCAAGGCTTTGAATGGCTTTGTTGCCTTAACTCTAACCTGTGCTTGTTTTTGCAGCCCACTGAAGTTCTCACCCTTTGAACCCTTCAAGCCAAGCACAGCAGTCGAGTTAATGGAGCTGTCAGCAACTCCACCTGGCCCTGTACCAGAAGTCACAGCTCCATTGCCCATCAAAACACCTTCAGGCACCAAGAAGAAAAAAGGCCGAGGACGGGCACGATAACTGGGCAGCAAAGAGATCTCTGGATAGGCATCATCAGGTGGCACACTGGGGTGGGGCTCAGGGGTGGACAAGACTGTGCCTATGGGACTTCAAGCCCTAGTGGAAGGCACATTTTCCCTTTCAATTCACAGGGCTGCCTTCACTCCCAGCCAGAAAGGGGCATTTGATGTTGGTGCTTCCTTGATGTCAGGACTAACTTGGCCATGGTGCTTTAAATCTACAGCGAATCCTGGAGGGAAGAGAATAATGTGGGATGCGCAAAGGAGCTGTGAGCAGCAGAGTTCTGCCCAGTTATCATCCTTCTAGGAACATTGGTCTGGGTGCATCTTGGAACTTTGCAGAGGTTAGTCAGAGGAAAGGCACAGGCTGTGCTTCCATCATGGCTGTGCTAGCTGAAGACTTAGGACCTGTGAAGGAAAGGAGGCAACTCTGAGAAGGTGGAAGGAAGGATCAGACTGCTGCTTCTGGGTAGAGCTCTCTCTTGTCCCAAGGAACTTGTTTGCTTGTCTTCTTTTTCCAGCATGCATTCATGTGCCAAAAAGGACCACTTCTCCCTCATTGGTGGTTGTTGCAAGATAAATCTTCACCCAGGACTGCTATCAATCTTCTCTAGCATACTGGTGTCCTTGGCCACAAATGAATCTCAGCAGTTGGCACAGTTTCATACCTGGCTCATATTCAGAAAATGAGTGTTGTGCTGCATAGAATAACTGGCTGGTTGTAGGAACTGCTGCAAAGAGAAATACTAAGCAAAAAGAGCTTTTTTTTTTTTTTTTTTTGGGTCAGCCCAACAACAAAAATAGCTATTGAGATACAGCCACTGGTTCTCTGTTTTATTGTTACAGGGAATATGCCTTTTTTGTTGATCAACAAGCTTTTTGGAACAGGCTAGAAGAAGCAAATGCAGCCATACAAACAGCGCTGCTCCCCAGTGGGGGCAGTAGGCAAAGCAGAGTGACAGCAGTCTTGGGACTCCCATCTGTGGAGCTTTGTCAAATGGGTCTGGAACCAAGCACTACAAGTTGTCTTTGTGACAAGTCCATCCTTCCCTCCTCCCTGGGATTTCTAGAGAGCAGTGACATTCAGCGGCTTGCCACTGTCTTCCCAGGCTGCTGTTCCAGAGAAGGAATGCAGATGACTCAATAGGACTTCTGCACTGCCCTCAGCTGCCTTTGATGCTTCATCTTCTTCTAAGGCCTCCTGCGCTGCTGCCTCAGGATTGGCACCCTTAGTTGGCTTCTCTTCTTGCTCCTGAAGGAGCTGCTGTTCCTCCTCCTCCTCCTCCATCTCCTCTTCCTCCTCCTCCTCCTCTTCTCCTTCTCCTTCTCCATCCTCCATAAGCTGTTGCTGCTCTTCCCCAAGCTCTCCATCACTCTGTTTCTCATCCTGGCAGTCCTGGGCCAGGTCCTCAGAAGGTGTCTCCCTCCAGAACTGTTGCCACTGAAGAATCAGAATTCTCATCAGGTGCTGAGGATGGTATCTTCCTTCTGTTGCACGGTTCAACCAGTGCCATGCCATAAACAGCAGCAATAGCAGCACAAGCAACAGGCAGATGAGGATACTCACTGTGACATTCTCATTGTATCTTCTGTCATTCCCTGGAGTCCCTGCCTGGACTTTCCCAGGAAGTACCAATAAGAGAATATGGGAGAGCCTGAGCTTCTGTAAAAAGAAAGGAGTCTGGGTTAGTCACTCTCCTAGCAGGTCTGCTTCTTTTGGCACTTCCATACAGCCTCAAATCTTCAGCAGGAGAATCACTGTGCTGCACTCTGCCTTCCTAGGGAGGCTCTCAGTACTCTTTCTAGCTGGCCAATAGGGCCTGACAAAAACCAAAGCTAGCTCCCCCCCCCCTCATTCTTCTCATGCCATGAAACAAGAGTCAGCCATTATGTGTGAGGAGCAACAGTGCCTATCTTATGTTGGGTAGAGGAAAAAGGGGAAATCCCAAGAAAAGGAAGATAGGATAAGGTAGGAGTTCCCACCAATGAGGAATGGTCTGCGCCACAAATCCAGAGGAGACACTGCACAGCTGTCTTGGTGTTTCCTCCATAGCACCTGCTGAGCCAAATCCATATAAGCCCCCATATGGGGTGGGGACACAAGGGACTGGCACGAATCTCAGATCAGCACAGCCCTTGTGTGTGAAAGACCTTTATTTGCTCTGTTCACCCCCGAAGCAATTCTGTAGCTATGGAATCTTGGAATTCTGTACTAAAGACTTAAGTTGCACAATAATAATGGACCTCAGATATAAGGTAAGGGGTAGCATGGACAAAGATGGACTGGAAGCATCTTGTGATTGCTTGGAAGCTATTTAAACTTTACCTGTTAACCAGTTAGCTATTGCCCTACCTCAGATAACTTGTATAGGTAGTCCTCGCTTAACCATTCGTTTAGCAACTGTTCGAAGTTACGACAGTGCTAAAAAAACTGACTTGGGACTGGTGCCCGAAGTTACAACCATTGCAGCACCCCCACAGTCACGTGATTGTGATCTGGATGCTTGGCAACCATCTCGCACTTATTACAGTTGCAGTATCCTGGGGTCACGTGATTGCCATGTGCGACCTTCCCAGCTGGCTTCCAGCAATCACTGGTGAACCACGTGATCCAGTTAACGAACATGTGATTTACTTCACCACCACAGCAAAAAAGGTCATAAATTGGATCCAGTCATGTGATGATTTGCTTAATGACTGCATTGCTTAGCAACCTAAATTCCGGTCCCAATTGTTGTTAAGCAAGGACTACCTCTATTTAAAAAATATTGGAAGGAATTTCACCTCTTTTGCAGTCTATGTGACTATTAGACACTAGGGTAGTATCTGATAGACGGTGTGCAGCACTGCTGCAGTCTCATAGATCATAAGAAGCTTGTTCCCTGCTATAACACGAGCATGTGAGGGAGAGAGAGATTGAGGTTTTGTCCTTGTGCAAGTTCTACCTTTGTGGTTATTTCCCAAAGTAAAGACCCATCCACATGTACTCAGGGCTAAATATATTCTGCACTTAAAAAAGAAGATTATGTACCCAGAGAAATTTAATTCTATGATTTTAGAAAGAAAATATATATACTTATTATTTTTACATATCTTTCTGATATTTTTACATAATTTATTCTGGATTGTGTTACTAAGGAACTAGGAGGTAAGAACCTCTTTGAAATCGCACATCTGGCAGCTGAAAGTCTGGTTTGCTCCTGAAAATTCTGCTAATGTTGCCCAAATGATTTATTTCTCCTTACTCCCTTTTGACTAAATAGCTGCTGTGTATTATTTTAAAAATAAATGCTGAAATTCTCAAAAATTTGATTTATACTCAAAGTGAATGGGTTTTTCTACTTGGAAAAACTGGGAATCAGCAGAAATGTCTCAACCTTTGTTTCAGAAGGTAGGTGCTCTGTCTTACATCAGTCTTTGTTGTATTTCCTACATGAGACACTGAAAGGGAACTGCATTGCTGACTCTGATTCTCAGTACATGTGTGTTAAAAAGAGGACAAGATGCTTTTTGTTAACAAGCCTTTCACACACTTGGACAAACTATTTTCTCCTCACTCAAATAGGGCAGATTGCAGGTAAGGGAAAACCAATGTTCTCTGGCCTGCCAAAAGACTGGAGGGAGTTTAAGCTGGTTTACACACTGAATTAAGCCCTTGCTATTTTCACTGGATATTATATTGCTAACATGGTTAATGGTTTAGTGTGTTGTATGAACTCGGGACAATTGGTAGACTGTTCAATAAATCTGGGATCCCCATGTTGGGCCTCCCATCTGCCAGACTTTCTGTCAGATTTTTTTTTTAAATAATCTTTGCAATTTAAATAGGGAGTTCACAATCATGTGGTCTCCAGCATGATCTTTATTTCTAAAGAGAATCTTTGGCAGTTTAAAAAAAATTAAAATGGTGGGTAACTGTGGCCTTGTACTTTATTTGGAAATATACCTATCTGCCCAGAAAAAAAATTTAAGATTGCTTAGTAGGGAGCAACCTAGGAGATAGATGGAATAGTGAGAAGTACTGTCGATTGTGGGTACTAGTATGATTGGTTCTTGAGGAGGAAGCTGTAGAAAAAATGGAAGAAATCATTTTCAGGAAATGAGCTTAATGAGCAAGTGAACAAGATGGTTAGTGAGAGCTTTGTGATGAAGTTCAAGTGTGGGAGATCATTAACAAAGCCAATGGATCATGCAAAGAACAGAACAGTGGATGGATGGAGTTGACTCTGCAGTCATTATCTACAATATCTATAGCATGTTTGTGTTCCTACCTGAAAACTACAAAGTAAAGGTATGCTACAAATGAAGATTCACTGGCTATGTTTGAGGAAAAAGAGGATCAGAGCAGAAGCTTTAATCAGCTGATAAAAGAATGAAGATTTCTTGGGCCAAACCTACGAAATGCAACACACAACAATTGACAGAGGTAAGGTACCACTCTTCCACAAGGAAGAGAGGTAAGTAGCAAAGCCTAATGGATGAGATTCATTGCCAGAATTGTTTTGAAGATATTTTGCACCATGAAAAATAGTTTCTATGCTTTCATAGAAAAAAAAAAGCTCTGAGTTTCTAGGGAAGAGACAAGCACTTTAGCTGAACAGAAGATGAAAAGTTGGAGCCATGTACAGAAAAAAAAAGGATACAACTGCTACCTGTAGAAGGCTCAAAGGGATAATTGTAATAATTGGTGGCTCCGTGCAACAAAGAATCTACACTAATGTGTGTTCAACCAGATCTGCTGGTTTAGAAAGTGTGCTGTTTCTCAGATGTGTAGTTGATGGGTATGACAAAGCAGCTGGCAAGATCTTCATATCCATGGACAGGCCTTCTCTCTCATTCTTGATACCGCCAAGAACAGCTACAACTAACCTTGGACTCTGAAGGTATGAGAAGAAAGGTGAGCGCTGGTGGCTTTGTCATCCATCCTTCCAATTCAGAGGACTAGAAAGTGAAAATATTCTGCCATTTGAATTACCGGCAATGAAAATGGCAACAGAAAACAATGATTTCTGGGAGCACGGTTTATGTTATGTAGATGATAAACTGTTGGCATGAAATTATTTGCATTTCAGAAAGGCTGAGAATAATGTGTTTGACCAAAGAGTATCAAACTTGATCTGGAAGACTTTCCTTGGGGAAACCCAGAATAAGATTAAGCAAGAGAGTAACTTTTAGGGCCTATTAACCCACCAGTGAAAATCAGGAACTGGTTTATAAAATTCACAGCATTCATTGTCTATAATATATACTAATGCACAGAGTATTAGAAATAAAGTAATATGAGAACTCATATTACAGGAAGGCAAATGTGATTTACTAGGTGTAACTGAGACTGATGCAGTGATACCCTGTGACTGGACTTCAGCTATAGGATAGAATTTATTCAAAAGGAACAGAAACAAAATGAATGGAGGGGGAGTTGCATTTTAGATTAAAAATGAGTCTGCACAGAAATCCAAGAATGCTAACTTGGAATTAATCTGAGGTAAAATAAGCAGAAGGAGGAATAAAGGCAATTGGTTGGGGTCCACAACCAACCCCTCCCACCCCTGAGGTGAAGATGTGGATCATACTTTCCAAAAGCAAATTGCAAACCCAAAAGCTGTTACAGGAAGGCAGATTCTGGTAGAATGTTAGGAAAAACTATCCAAAGATAAGAGCAATGGTAAGAGGAACCAAATAACCACAGAAGGGGGAGACTCCCCTTTGTTGAATACGTCCAAGGATAGGTTAGACAGCCATTTATCAGGGATGCTTTAATTTGGATTCCTGCACTGGGAAGGGGGGTGGCCCCTTCCAATCTTGTGATCCTATTATCCTCACCAGTTTGATGTTTGGTAAATGGCAGTTACTGGTTGTGCCACCATTTGTGTGCAGCACCCATTTTCCAAAGGGCCACTAGCCTGAAAAATGTAAGGAATCCATAATAAACCATAGTTTAACAGGCCATAGCTCAGCATTACATTTACTGAACCACAATATAATTTGAATAAATTGCTGTTTTAAACATTTCATTCATGTCAGTTTGGCTGCTATGTATCTTGGCTATATAGTTGTGAACCCTCCAGAAATATAGAACAATGATCCCAGCATTGTTTACCACTGATCATGCTGGTTGGCGCTACTGGTATTTATCAACAATAGCTGGGAGGCCACAGGTTCTTCATCCCTGGTGGATAAGGAAAGTGTGGGTAGTCTTAGACTTCTCTGAATTGCATTTGGGCAAGGTCCCAATAGAACAACGTTTTGATGGAAAATTGAATGGAAGAAGTAAATTCCAAATTTTTTAACCTGCTCAGCCTTTGATACAAGATTAACCCTCCTTGGCAAAGCTTAGACTTTGAGTTCATTCTCTTGTTCTAATGGCTGAGAGGGAGTGACTGGCCCAAAGTCACCCAGCTGGCTTTATGCCTAAGATGGGACTAGAACTCACCGTCTCCCAGGTTCTAGCCTGATGCCTTAACTAGTACACCAAACTGGCTCTCCAATTTAGAAATATGCAGTATTTTGTACAGTAGACCACCAGGACAAGTTGTTACTGTTACAGTATGGCTTAACTTCTGCATTAACAATTCAGTGGCTGTCCTTTGGCAAGGAAAAGGCCTAACTTGTCCCCTAGCTTAATTCTCTCTCTACTCCTCAGCCCCACCTTTAATAGATTGGAGGTTCTGACACAAGACGAAGGCCTTTCTTAATCTGTTAGTGGGCTAGGGATGGTACATTCATTTTAGTATTCCACCCATACTCCTACTTTCCTTGCTCTGCAATCTATATTAATTTAATGTTTTAGCCATGGA